TGGACCTAATATGAAGTGTGCAAATTCAATCTTGGACAGACTACTTTACTCTGCTTCGAGGTCCCATATTCCCTGTCCTTGTGAAGGAATTTTAGAAGTATGCCAAAATTAGTGATGATGGCAACACTATTCTTTCTGAAATCTTCATGCTTCCCATTGTTGTCACCATCTCTTCCATTGTAAGAGTCACTGGGTGTGTCTCATCTAGAGTCACCATTGATGACTATCAATCCGACCTATGTTTTGTTGAAAGGTTTAGGGTTCTCCATGATAGTTCAACACTATATGAACTAACTAATCCTAGAAACCTTCTTTCTTCACCTAATAACTGGTTTAGGTTCTCCCTTTCCAACCTCCGTCCTCGAGCCATAGCAAGAAGAACTCTTTCTCGTGATGATAAAAATTTTGTTTTCCTCTTGATCCACCACTTCAAGATCAACCTTCCCAAAACCATATTTAATCATATGAAACACTCCATTGAAATATCAAGAACACAAATTCAATCATATATTTCTTATGGAAGGATACTATCTGAGATGATAATCCAAGACAAGATGTGGGAGTTGATAAAGAAGAATAGACTGGATAATGCATTGGTTGAAGAAAGGTGTGCTAGAATTGATACAGTTCAAGACTTTCATGATTGAAATCTTGTCTGTAATCTTTTAGAAAATCTAATTTTTCTTCTATTTTTCCTTTTTGTCTTAATGTACTCTGAAATTCCTTGAATGAAATATTAGGATAAAATCCCTTAGACGTTTAATGTTTTTCATGAATAATTATCTTTTTGATGATGTCAAAAAGGGGAATAAGTATAATGATTTTGATGAACCTTAAAAGAAATGCATCATAATAATTAAATGATATAAAATATTCATTTACCACTAACGCTTGTTTGTCTGTTTGTTAATTAACCGAGGAACTCTGAATAAGTTCACTAGGCATTCTAAGACAGATCGAAATGAAAGAACTGATTGTTCACATAACCAAAGATGTATACTCTATGAACATATGTTCAAATATCAGATAGACCTAATATTATTCATAATTTGGTTATTGAGTGTCTAGACATAAAAAAAATTAAGTCTTACGTAGTAAATCAACATGGGATAATGTGTAATAGTCTGTATAATATACATCTAGAAAATACATTATATGTGATATTAATTGATATTGATACAACATAAGTAACTAATGGCATCATTATATATATATATATATATATATATATATATATATATATATATATATATATATATATATATATATATATATATATATATATATATATATATATATATATATATATATATATATATATATATATGTGTGTGTGTGTGTGTGTGTGTGTGTGTGTGTGTGTGTGTGTGTGTGTGTGTGTGTGTGTGTGTCCAAAAGAATAAAATACATTATGGCACATATTATACAAAGGTGCCTAAATAAAACTAAGACTTATGCACAACATCTTCATTATACATAATCCACAGTGGAATATCACGATAATCAGAATCCTTTGAAACACCATCAGACAACTTCTTTTATCTTTAACGTTCAAATAAACACCTGAAAACAACAATGATAAAAGGGTGAGATGATAATCTCGGTGAGTTCCCCTATCTTATGGGTCCACTCTGCTCTACGGGGATCTATTACCTATTCTCAACTCAAGTCTTTAACTTTCATTACCTGTATTTCCTTCACACCATGTAACTAAGACTTAAGTATCTAAGAGATATTCACATTGTATGGAAATATGTCACTTGAGTTCACATAACTCAATAAATCACTATTTAGATTCATGAAACATAAGGAATCAGCTAGACCTACATCTAGGCCAAAACTCGGTTCACGTATGCTCGTATGATTAGACTTTTGTGTTGATATTGGGTTCTCCATGTGACTTGAACCCATTTCAAGAACCATCAATCGTATGGGACTTGAACTTATTTTGAGTATCTTACATCGTATGGGACTTGAATCCACTTAGGTGTGCACCTCTCCCTCATGAATTCGATATGGTTGGGACTCAAACCTATTTGAGGTTTAAATCATTGGTGCCACATCCCTTATTCTACTTTACATAAGTATCTCAATTGGAATATGCACGATCATGGGTACTTCCAAATATGTGATTAGTTCTTAACATAACATAAATCGGGATAGAGCGGCCAATCTTCCAGTCATCTGCTAAACTTCTTTCATCGATGTCGGGCTCCTCATATCGATGATCGTTGGGAATTTATTCGGGTTAACCTCTATTCTCTTATATGTCAGCATGAAACGCAAAAACATGTCGGCTTGTACTTTGAAGGTGCATTTGTCTACGCACATGCGCCATTTTGTATTTTTCTTTTTCACCATCTCGACATTGGACCAGGTGAGGTATTTTATTTCCCGGATGAGCCCGACCTTCAAAAATTTTCTGACCCCCTCCGAAATAGCTTTTATTTTTTCTTCTCCGTCTTTATGCTTCCTCTGCACCATGGCTTTCGATGTTGATTCAATAGAAAGTTGATGACATACGACATTTGGGTCTATCCCAGGCATATCTGAGGGTTTTCACACGAAGAGGTCGATGTTCTCTCTTAGGATCTTGATGATGTCTGCCTTTTCTACCTAATAAATCCATGAACCTATCAATGTGGTCTGAAACTCCTCAACTCTGATATTCACCTTTTTTTAGTTCTCTGTTGGGTGTTAAACTATCAGTTACCAGGTCCTCTCAGGAGTCGAGATCGACCAAGTTCAACTTTAGGGGGTCTTCAGTTGATGGAAGATCTTGTGGTGAATTCTTTTTCAACTTTAGGTTGTCTTTGTAGAACTTCTGCGCTAGCTCCTGGTCACCTTTGATTAACTCTACCCGGTCATCGCATAACGAGTGCTTCATGGTAAGATAAAGAGTAGACATGGTGACTTCAAGAGCAGTGAACTTTGGCATGTCAATGATAATTTTATACGGTGACGATGTGTTTACTATCAAATATCTCACTTTGATGCACTTGGCATTGTCTCCACTCCCAAAGACGGTCATGATGGGCAAGTGTTCCAATACCTGGACCTGCTCCCCGAAGAAACGGACTAGGGTGCCTATAAAAGGTAGCATCTCATTTGAGTCCATGTTCATGCCTTTGAAAGCATCCTAGTACAAGATGTCGGCAGAACTGTCTGGGTCAATTAGGACACGTTTGACGTTTCAATTGTGTATTTGTACCTTTATGACCATTAGGTCGTTTTCATGATCTAGCATGTCTTCTAAATATCCTATTGAAAAATTGATGGCGATCGATTTCTCTTCCTCCACTGGCAACGACCTTGGTAATACATGCATTACTGTCCGAGCATACCTCTTTCTAACCGAGCTAGTTTCACATCTACCAGCAAACCCTCCCGAGATTGTGTTGAGGGTGTGGTGTGTCACCCTAGTTTAGTGCACCTCCTTGGCACCCTTTCCCTTCTTGGAAGAGAGATTCTCCGAGTTAGACTCTCTCTGTGTTGAGCCTCCAACATCCTTCACGTATGACAATAACTGACTCATCTGCATAAGCATCTCGATTTATTTTTTCAATTAGTGACAATCCTCTATATGATGGCCTTTCACGCGTACCATGAACCTTCGTATTTTCCCATTACCGTGCCCACCATCCTAGGTCGAGCGGGTTCTGGCGATAGTTTGAGGTGGTACACTTCATGCAATATATATGCTTGCTTTGCGTCGAGTGGGGTAAAGACCTCAAGGGTGTTGTCGTAAGTCCTCCGGGAAGGCCTTATTGCTTAGCTATCTTTCGACACATATTGATGATAATCTTTTCTCAGCTCGAGTCCCTCTTTCCTGGTTTGCGACCTCTCCTTAGCATCTTCGGACCTCTTCTCCATATTGGTTTCCTTGCCCTTGTTATAACATTATGCCATATTCATACTTCGTCCATATTGGCGGTCGGTTTCTACGCCAAAGACTCATTGAAGTGGCCGACTTTCAAGCCGTTCTAGAAGGCTCCCGCAAACATTTCCTGATTCGGTGTGAAACTTTTATAGTTTCTTTGTTGAAGTGTGCCATGTATTCGTGGAGAGACTCGGGGGGCCCTTGTCGTATGTTGAACAGGCTGGTGGACACTTTTCTATATTTACTGGCCGAGAAATATTGCACCATCTTCCTGGTTAATTCTTGGTAACCGATAATTGAGAATCTTGACAGGCTCATGTACCAACATAAAGTTACGTCCTTAAACGTTCCTGCCATGAGTTTACATTTCAAGGAGTCAGAAGCGCCAATGGTTGCCATTTGATTGTTAATTGAGATGATATGCTCATGTAGATCACTTTTTTCATGGAGGATGCCAAGGGTGGTGGTTTGAATTTTTCTAGAACCTGGTTGTCTCATATTACTTTTGTCATGTGTTGGGAATCCAACAATTCTTCTTCTTTGTCCCCGTCTTTTAAACTTATCGCAGATCAGACTCATGTCTTATAAAGTCTAATCTATCATATTTTCACCCTTAACTACGATCCATTATTTAGCCAAAAGGATACAGAGGACACAAATTTGTTCTAATGGGCCTAAACCCAATATGAATCTCATCTAACTAATGAATTTGATTTTTTTTTAGTAATCATAACATAAAAAAAAAAATTTAACAAAAAGTCTATAATAATAACAAATATTTAAAAAAACGGTAACAAACAACTTAAAGTATGGGGGATCAATCAATTTTTAAGTTAAGCCTTGTATAGAACATTACATGCACTATTTTAGCGATCACATTAACTTAATTTTCCAGTGCCAACAACATAATAAATAAAGATCTATCATGATAGTGGCAAAATCATCGACGGGTCCCAATAAAGCACGCTAGAAACCTAATTAACGATTGTTTAGCCTATGATCATGACATCCCTAACACCAAACTGTTACCTCATTCACGCTTATAATCAATGATTCCTCATCCCATAACCCTAAAAAACTAAACCAACACTTTTTTTTTCCTTAGCTACCAACATTAATAATGAAGCTAATGTCTGTTATGCTTTTAATGTTTTTGTGTCTTTCGGTTGTAACATGCAACGCAACAAAAGATATTTTCATATTGGCGGGACAAAGCAACATGGCTGGTCGAGGAGGTGTTTTGAATGGAAAATGGGATGGTGATGTTCCACAAGAGTGTAAGCCAAGCCCATCAGTTTTGAGACTGAGTTCAAATCTTAAATGGGAAGAAGCCCGTGAGCCGCTTCATGAAGATATCGATGTGGAAAAGACTTGTGGTGTTGGCCTGGGCTTGCGTTTGCGAACGAGGTAGTTCGAATGAGAGGTGGCGGCGGTGGTGGATATGTTGTGGGACTTGTTCCCTGTGCGGTTGGTGGGACGAGAATTGAAGAGTGGAGAAAGGGTTCTCGATTGTATAATCAATTGGTGAAACGATCTATTAAATCGGTTAAGAATGATGGTGGTGTAATAAGAGCACTTGTTTGGTATCAAGGTGAGAGTGATACTGTAAGAGAAGAAGATGCTGAGAAATATAAGACTAGAATGGAGAATTTTATTGAGGATTTTCGGTCGGATCTTCAACTTCCAACACTCCTGGTTATTCAGGTTAGGTTCTTCTTCCACTTTAATAATATTTACAATTGCATTCAAATTTACATTAAGACGAAAATCAAATTGTTCAATTGTAGAGTGCTGGTTTTTCTGGGGGCAAACTTGTCAAAAAATAGTTATAGAAATACAATAAGATAGGGTCAACTTTTATTTTGAATTTCAAATTTCAAATCAGGTGAAGCGTGAACATAACTGATACTGATAGGAGTTGATGATATTATATTTAAATATCAACAGTTAGCCATAAAAAAAGTTCATGGGACCCAACTAATTTAATAAATGGGCCAACATACCAACTTGCAAGAAATTTATGTTTTTTAGTTTTTAAATCTGTATCTTATTAATCTTTTAACAAATTTTTTGAGGTTAAAATTAAAGTTAATTTAATAATTATTAATATTAATTTATTTTTATAAAAAATATGGTTAATATAAAAAAATTATTTATTATCTCTATTTTAAATTATTTTTATATTATTATAACAATTACTAAAACTAATTCAATAAAATATATTTGTGCATCGGGTCTAACTATTATATAAAAGTACTATTTTAAAATTTTAAATTATTAACAATTCAACAATTATTTTTTTATTATTTGAAAATAAAATAATTATAATTTATTTATAATATATTAAAACAGAGATACCAAATCTTGTGTTGACATGTCTCTCTAAAATTACCAATTGTTTCTCAAAGCATTGCATCTTTATTTCCAATGACCATTCCTCTTAACATCTTGATTCTCCATCATTCCAAAGCAAATTCTATATTTTTTTCATTTTACTTTTCACTTAATGTTAGTTATGTGTTAAAAATGAAATGCTTTGCCAAAATATTCATCAAGTTGAATCACACATTTGTTTTAAGATTATGATTGTTTAGATTTTTCAGATTCATGTGTCCCATAAATTTGTAAAATTAATGTTTTTGATTTTCATATATATCATTTATTTCTATTTGATAAGCAAATAAGTTTCCAACTATAGTCTATATCATAACTCAGGGATAAATTAAAATCTTTATGCATTTCCAATTATTTGAAGCTTTTCTATAAGAATATTATTTCTCTACATACCTTCACAATTAACTATTTCATTTTGCATGAATGCTAATTATA